TGTGGAAAATCGAGAGAAACTTGAAGGTTCCGAATGATGATTTTTAAGAAATCCATTATTATGATTAATTTTCATCAATGTTCTTTTCTTTTATAGATTTTATCGATTTTATAGATTTTTAAATACATTTTATAGATTTTATATAAAATTATAATGATTGTAATGAAATGATTATAGAATCGTGATAAAATATTTAGACAAGGAGGTAGGAATATATAATATAATAGTAGGAATAAATCATGTCGTAAGACTTAAAGATTTCCGACATCACTTATCTCGTCTCCTCATAAAATGTTTTCTTCTTCTAATATTAATAGTAAAACGATAACTATGAAACACGAGCCAGTCTCAGCCGGTGAACTGATATCTTAAGTGTAATCTTACCAATCGCTTCTTCTCAGATGCTCGTCTAAGCAACGAGTTTTCCATTCGTGAGCCGGATCTAGATAGGCTGGTCGCCAAGCGATCGGTTCTCCGCGTAGCGTCGCAATGTAGTGTCAATTGTCGTGGTGAAGTTCTCGTGCTGCGAAAAGAAAAGAGGAGATTAGAGAAGAGACGACGATGAACGGCGAGCGAGACTCGTAAACTGTTTCGCGGATTCTAAGAAGAGAACCACGAAGAGCAGCCGAAAGAAAGAAGAAACGGGCCGGTCCGGTGGGCCCCGGCCATGGGGGAGACAGTATGTTCTCCGAGCTGTGCAGGGAGACCTTGCGGAAGGCAGCAGTGTGCTACAGTTCTGCTCGTGCAGGAAGTCCATCACCATCGCCACCAACGTCTCCGCCGCCATCACCCGCCAAGGAGGCAAAGACTGCTGCCAACTCTGACCTGGCAAATGTCCGTGATGCCGGCCACGAGGGAGTCAGAGACCACCATCATTCAGGGACCACCACCGGAAGACGAGTGTCGTCAACCGGAAATGCCGCCGCCGAGTCCAAAGAGCCGGCCACAGAGAGATCGACCGATCGCTCAAACGACTTCAGGGAGTACGTTTACGTCCGGTGCGAGACTGATATTAGTTCATTGCTCTCAATACTCTTTGGGGACCGGTCAAGCATCGACCATCGATCCTTTTGTTGATTCGAGAACTCGCGCGGTTCGAAATTACTTAACGGATAAAAAGAATTCATGGTTTTTGTTACGGAGAAAATAGTTCTTTGTAATAGACAGTTCCATTTATTATCTCGCGTGTAACTAATCGTCTGAATTTATATAGTTTCAACTTTGCGTGTTTGTGAGCTTTCATTACAAATTGAACGGATGGAATGTTGATTACAAAATTATAAGCTATAATTTTTATAATTAAACGATTTATGAAATACACACAATATTTCATATAGCTACACTTTTGAAAATTGTAAAATTATATGGCTATCGTATTTTCACTCTAAATAGCAATTATTCTTTTTATAATATCAGTCCACATTTTCCGATTAATTAGTGAATACACGACAAGCGGAAAATTGCGTGGTCGTTATTTTCGCGAAACAATAGCATCGAATGACATTTTCACGTTGCGATGGTCGATGTTCTATGCAATGGATCTATCGATCAGTTATCGTGTCTTTGACGTTGTCGTCCGAGGAAATTGATCGATCACACGCGTCATTTCGAATGAAATCCAATGTACAATTCACTTCGTTGTTCATTCCCATCGAATGCACGAGATTAGCCTAAATGCGTCATAGTCGGATGAAATCAACAACGCGAATCAATATCGCGATTTCAAATGGAATCCGATCCGGCGTCAGAAACACTTTCAGGTGCAAATATACGTAACGCGAGATTCGATATGCGATAAATATTTAATCATGGAAATGGAGACGGTTTATCAAGATTTGCGTTAAAACGCGCTGATTGAACCGTTTGCATCCAATCTCGCGATTATCGCCACCGAGAGTCAACAGTTTACTTTGCATGGACACATTTATTTCGACGCGCATCGAGCAAAATAACTAATTAGTATATTAATTAGAAATATTATTCGCATACGATACGATGAACAAATTATTTATTAATTCAAAATGAACAAGATAATATATCGCGACACATGCTCAATTTCGAAAAATGATCTTGATATGAATTCGTCGCAAGAGTAGGGGAAAATTCTCTTCTGCATAAAAAAGGGAGGACGTAAAATCGTAAACGTACTCCTAGAAAGCGACCGGCGATGCCCACCGACTTCAGTAAACGATTACCCGGTCTCGAGGCGAGAGAGGGACGACGAGGCCGCACGTGCGGTGCCACCGAGAACAGGGAGTCCCGCTCGGTGTCCCCCGAGATGGGGGCACGACAGCAACACGAGGACAACCGAAGAGGAGGAGGAGGAGGAGGAGGAGGAGAAGGAAGCCCCGGCAGCGAATGCGGCCGATCAGACTCGAGATTCGGCCGATGGTCCCCAGGGTCGTCGCCCGAACCCGAGGACAACTCCTCAACTTCTGGCGACGAAGGTACCCTCTTCTTGCACACGCGCAGATTTATTGTTTTGTTTGCGCTGAAATTTTCACGACCAGTTTTTTTTTCCCTCGACCGGATCTGCCTATCCCTCGGGAACAAAGGATGCTCGCGTGTCTCTCACACGTTCGAGCATTCAATCATACAATTTGTTCGATTTGCTAAAACTACAAGGTTGATTTTTCAACTTTTTTTAATAATGATAATAACAACAAAACAACGACACAATTACATACACATGTACTTAACAATGATAGTGGTACTTTGCAAGAGACTTTAATGATGTTTAGATGAGAGTTAATGGAAAGTAATTATCCACGTAATGAGTTATGTTACAAAGTAGTCTTCAATACAGCTTTTGAGGACATGCGAAAATGTGTGAAATATATATGTCATTAAATGCGTCAAGAGAAGTTGCCTGTATAATTAAATTTAAACTACAATTAGAATAAGTTTTATGATTTCAATAAAATTATTCTCAACAGCTAACTATTAAAAAGAGATTCTTATATTTATATATATATATGCGTTATTAAAACGTAAGATTATTTTCATCTTTAATTGGAGATGTCGTAAAAACGGATTTATTCTTAACAATAGAGAGATTGAGATTAGATGGAGATGAAAAGAGATTCTTTGCTATCGTATCAAAACATTCGTTCATAATCTCCTGCGAGTACTAGACGCGGAATAGAGGAAGTTCGATAGAATTTTCACATTGAAAAAGCACTCCTGGGGTTTCCCACGGGTTTCGTTGATCGTGGCTCTTTGAGAAATCGAGTTCACAAAGTTGCGGGGAATATCTCGATGACAGAGGTCGACTGGGAAATCCTAGATAGCTTGGTCGAAAGCGGAGACAGTCCTGGTCGCGTGGCACAGAGAAAGCGTTAATAGCCACGTTTGATCCACTCGCATGCTGCCGCTTTATACATTTACCACGACGTAAATGTGCCATTTAGTCTAAAAATGGGATACGAGCAGTTGATTTCTCTTCTTGTTGATTTTAGCACAAGATATTAAAAATGACCATACACGATTCGCGAATTTTTTGATCTGGAAAATATGTGATTTTAATAATCTTGAAGATATTAATTTTCTTAGATTTATCAGATAAATCTGAGGACAATATGATAGGAATTTAGATCATCTATTATAGCTTGCTAGCCTTTTCAACTACTCAAAGATTGCAGAAAAAAACGATCGTAAACTATTATTCGGCTGTATTATTGTACGATTTCATCTCTATTTTAAAAATTCGGATAGATCGACCGAGAAATATTTTTGTGTTGAATCCTATATGCGTTTTTTATCTCGAGCATTGTAGAAAAAGCGAAACTTGAGAGAGAAGAGAAGTTCTGGGAATATTTCCGATGATAATACACCTCCGCGTTTCCTTGCGAATCTTTATGCTCGATGCACTCGACTTATTTGCCTCTTCACCGTGTAACATTTCTACGCTTTACAAAAAATAAAAATTCAAGTTCAAACAACTAACAAGAGGAGCGCTGCTTTATTTCTAGATAAATAATCGGCGATCGATACGGTTTCTTTCTTCAAGCACTTTCCTATTTAGTTGTTTTTCTTGTTCAATCGTCTTTGTAGTTGACACAAATACTCTTTCCTTTGAGATATTTTTATATCTCTTTAATCCTCTTATTTACTCTTGTGAAATACAGTATGTACCATAATTTATCTCAGTTAATGTTTAACAGCAGGTTTTTGATGAAATTAAAATTGATTTTTTTTCTATAAAATATCTAATGTTTTAACATAACACGACTGTTGAATTTCAAGTATTTAAACTATATCTTAAATGATTTTTTTTTTTCAATTATTGAACTGTTCTATAAAAAAGATGTTTAAAAAAAAATTTAATAATAGAAAAGTCAAACATTCGTGCAATGATTTTTAAATCTCAATTATTTTTGTCACATCAATATATAAAAATTCGATACCGCGTATTTAGACGCAATCTGCATATAAATGTACAAGTTATTGACGTGATCTTGGCCGATCGTTCTCGTCAAGATCGCATCGATACGAGAGGCAATACATTGATATTCTCAGCGACGCTTGAATCGCTGAGCTGGCAACTCGATGTGGCATTTTCTCTCGTGGCGCGATGGAGACTTCTTCCTCCAGACTTTTGCGACTACATCGATTGCACTCGAGGCCTAAAAGCGCCGAAGCCATCTCGCGATGTGCCAATCCGCTGTGTTCAAGAATACCCGCCGGGTTTGTTCACGATATCAAATTTCTGTCCACTTGTCGCGATATCTATCGCTATTCTCAGGGGATACGCGTATTGTGTCTTGGTACACAAGATATAATCTTCATAAATTTTCAGATTGTCTTCTCAAATTTTGCAAAGCTTTCATGTTTAAATATTAAATCTGTTAGGAGAGGGAGAGCAAGAGAATCATACGAAAAAAAGCTTTTTAAAAAACAAATAATTTAATTATATAAATTATCTCTAAAAAAAATGTATAAGATTATATCCATTAATACAAATAAAATTTCTAATGTCATATTTTTTGTCTTTTTTTCAGGTGAGTATTCGATGAAGTTAATAGAGGCGTCTTGCCATTTTTCTGCGGCGTCAGGTATTTATGACTCATTTACATATAATCGAATCTTAATTTACAATTGGACATCTAATATTCTCCGAGAAAAAAGGAAAGGCAATTCTTTCCGAAAGAATATATAATTGCAACTTTAATCTTTGAAAAAGAAATTTCCTTCTAACCACTATCGCGGAAATCGTATTCATTGATTTCCGGCTTTTATCTCCACCCTTCTTGCGTGGTACTTTTTCAGCAAGAAAGAGCTCACGATGCGGTACTCGTAAACTAATGTAAGTAAACGCGCGCTATCGCTGTTGTTCGGGTTTTAAGAAGGTGCGATTAATCTTAAGAACTTAACTCCAGCGAAGGCACCATTTGATTTAACTTCGTTCGATTGTTTTTTTACATCGGCATTTTTTCTACAGCGTCACTTTGCCGACACAAAAGACTGTTCGTTGTTTAGAGAATGTACTTTGAAACTCTCTCACGAAGTTGGAACGTTTCCTCCTGTTCCCTTCGACAGAGAAAAACATTGTATCGATAACTTTAACTAACATCACTGGCATTCTTCTGAGACTAGCGTTGTTCTAACTGTCGAAAGCCCTGAGGCTATCAATCAAACTCACTGTATAATATTGCTGCTTGCGTTCCTCATAAACGTCGACATCGCGTTGAAGTTTGGCAGCTAGTTACTTCCCACTCATTAATTCGATTACAACATTCGCTGACGCAGGTAATTGTGAATAAATTATAACGATCATTGTTACTCGAAATTTACATTAGCATGATCTTTTTATATCATAAATTAATTTTATCTTTTTTACGTACAAATAATGTCTATTTTTGAGATCAATCTAGAATTTTATAAATCAATTATGAATATTTTGGAATTACACACTACGAGCAATATATTTATCATAATTTGTTTAACACGGCAATTGTATGCGTGTTGAACATTTAGGTGTAATTGTAAATTCGATATTCCGAATTATCGGCTGCGTTTAATCACTATTCCCAGATTAACAAGAGAATTAATCGTATATTTGTAAGCACAAAGTTGGTTTCAGGCATTAGACTCTCTCTTTCTCCCTCTCTACCTCTCTCTTACACATCGATTCTGAGTATGCTTGGAAATATTGGTTGCAAAGAAGATATATGTCACTAATAACTTCCTTCGCTAATGTCGGTACCACTCGAGTATGTAGAACGCGCAAAGCACATCTAGATCGAGAATCTCCGAGTTTCCAACAAAACTTGAACTTTCGGCATGCCTCGTCTTGCATATTTGCTAAGTTGCACTTATTTACATTCACTTCGTAGGAAAAATAAATTTACGTAACTTGTTCTTTCACGGCGAAGAAAGAGGTCGAACATTTCATTTCATGCGACGAGAGAATTTACTGAATTCGACACACCGTTACACGTCAACAAAACATAAAGTCTACGTGGATCAAAAAATGTTGTCTCACGAAAGACCGTGCTCGTTTTTTGTTTGACAATAAGAGCTGTAATCATTGTTTACTTCTCCTCCTACTCTGATAATTTTATTTTTCAAACTTTGGGAAACATACGAGAGACAAAAATTTTAATTAATATCAACATCGCGGTACGATCCGAGACTTTACCGCGAATTAGCTTCAAATTTCATCAAGTTCACGAGTCTCGTTTAAGTTTTCGTAGCTGTCGACATCATGCGTCTGGAACACAATGTCGATCGAAAG